CTCTTGCTGTGCCTCTCTCTGTCAAATAAATAAATAAAATCTTAAAAAATAAATAAAAGTAAAAATAATAAAATAGATGACAGTCTAGCAGAAAAAAGAATTAACTTCCGTGCAGTTTGATACGTGCTATAAACAGAGCTAAGCACAGAGTGCTCAAGAACAGAAGAAAAATGGTTAAGCTACCTGAACAGGAGAGGGAAACATGCGCAGTTAGTGAAAGGTTCCAGAGGAATGAATCTAATTAAACCTTAAAAGATGAGTAGAAGTTAGCCAAGAATTTAAAGGGAAGGGACAAAGCTACTACATGCAAATTTCACCTAATGCAAATTCATGGAGACAACCAGGAGCTTATGTTCAGAGAAGTGCACAGAATCAAGGATGGTTGAAAGACAGGATGTGTATTAGGTAGTGGAGAGACTTAAAACTAGATAGGATGGCATGGGCCAAATCATGACCTTTCTTACAAGCTAATGAGTCCAAACTTTACCACTAAGAAATTGGTAGAAGGTGAAGGTGAAGGAAAGCTTCAAAAGATTTTAAACAGGAGATGACATGATCAGATGTGTGCTTGAGAAAAATTACTCTGGCAGCCTTTCCTGACAACTCCAGGTCTCAACAGTCTCTTTGTCCTACAAATTTTTATGGTACTTACTATGCTAATCACTCAATCAGCACTTATATAGTTATACAGAGAGTCCTGAACTTTTAATATGCTTATTCTTACAGCACCAATGAGATCACTAACTCCTTAAGGAAAGAGATCATGCTTTACTTTCTGTATCTGCCAAAGCTGCTAACAGCTACAGCTCTGCAGGATATGACCTAAAACAAAAATTTCTTGACTGGCCAATATATGATTAGAAGACTGGCTAATGAAACACAGAATGAAATCAGAGTCGAGTTACCTACGGAAAAAAGTCCAGTATGTAAGAAACCCCAACACCCCAATAAGTGTCTCTTGTGTGCTGAAACATGCAGCCATGATGGGAAAACAAAATTAAAGCCAACTAAAAGTTCTGCCCCCTTACATTTCACCACTACCAGACCCATTCTGCCTCACTACATTAATACCTTCATAACCAAGATTGACCATTTCCAGTTTTACAAAATTCTCACTCTGGAGACACAAGTTTTCCTTGTTATTTTTCTTTTCAGAACTTATTTAAAAAGTTGTATGTGTTTGCCATGACAGGTTAAATAATACATAGATGGAAAAGGAAAAGTTAACAAATTTCCTTTTATTTTTATTTTTTAAAGATTTTATTATTTATTTGTCAGAGAGAGACACAGCGAGAGAGGGAACACAGCAGGGGGAGTGGAAAAGGGAGAAGCAGGCTTCCTGCAGAGCAGGGAGCCCGACGCAGGGCTCGATCCCAGGACCCTGGGATCATGACCTGAGCTGAAGGCAGACGCTTAACCACTGAGCCACCCAGGCGCCCCAACGAATTTCCTTTTAAACTAATCAACATTTTAAAGAAGGCGCAGGGGGTACCTGGATGGCTCAGTCAGTTAAGCATCTGACTCTTGATCTCAGCTCAGGTCTTGATCTCAGGGTTGTGAGTTCAAGCCCTGTGTGTACACACACACGTACACACACACACACACACACACAAGAAGAGGCGGAATTCATGAGATTTCTTTTTAGTCCACTGCCTCTTTTATTTTAGACCTGAAGATGCGAAGGGCACAATGGACGCTGGTCCATCTTACTGTTTCCAATAGCTAAAAAACGGACTTTCAGTTCAGCGGCAAGAGGTCCAGGTATTTATTTGGGTCATAATTACTAAGGGAAACATGATTACAAGCTCTTCTTTTTTTTTTTTTTTAAAGA